GCAGAGACGGCTGCATCCGGCTCTGGGACGTCGACTTCAAACCCGTCACCAAGATCGACCTGAGGGAGGCCGAGCAGGGATACAAGGGTAACTACAGAGAACAAACTACACAGGAGCAAACTACAGAGAACAAACTACAGTTACATGTTAGTTTTTCCTGGATTAAATGAGTTCCCACATCATAATGCTGCCTCTGCCATTCTGCATCATTTAGTTCTTTTATTTAACTGATTATTTCATATAAACTCTTTCATGTCTGGGTTTTATTTTTAATGTAACTTTTTTTCATAACGTGATGCAATAACATTTTTTTCTGGTCACTTTTTATGATCTGGTGTAGAACAATTTCCAAGTTTAACAGAAATCATGAGAAAATAACTGAACAGTAATTTCTTTCAGTCAGTTGTAACTTTATTATAAAAGTTAAACTCATATATTATCCTGGTTTCGTTCTGATTAATGAACTCGGATCTGATCCGTGTTTCCTCCTCTTCCTCCCTGTCTGGTCCAGGTCTGTCCATCCGGAGCGTCTGCTGGCGAGCCGACCGGATCCTGGCAGGAACTCAGGACAGCGAGATCTTTGAGGTGAGGAGGAACCGGAAACGTGTTTCAGGAAAAATGTTTTATTCTGGTTCGCTCAGCGTCTCTAATGAACAAACTGTAGCCATTAATGAAAAGTTTATGAAGATTAATGTAGATGTATTTATCAGCAACAGTGTTCATGTGTTCATCCGGTAAGCAGGTGATGGTGCGAGAGCGCGACAAGCCGCTGCTCATCATGCAGGGTCACAGCGAGGGCGAACTCTGGGCTCTGGACGTTCATCCCAAAAAACCTCTGGCTGTAACCGGCAGCGACGACCGATCCGTCAGGTGAGAAACGATGTCATACTGGGAGCCGCCCAGTAACACCAGTACTGCACTGGGGGCAGAGTTAGAATAGTTATAATAGAAATATAATCTACTGTCCCTCAGTGGGGAAATGCAGGTTGACCAGCAGCAAAGTGACAAACATATGAAGGTGAAAATATAAAAACTAAAGATAAACGGGAAAATACGGCATGAGAAAAATAATTTTATAGTGGAGAGCCACACGAAGCTGTGCGTTGTGTGTGTGTGTGTGTGTGTGTGTGTGTGTGTGTGTGTGTCAGGTTGTGGAGCCTGGTCGACCACGCCCTCATCGCGCGCTGCAACATGGAGGAGGCGGTCCGCAGCGTGGCGTTCAGCCTGGATGGATCCCAGCTGGCTCTGGGGATGAAGGACGGATCCTTCACCGTGCTGAGAGTCAGGTGAGCCAGATGCTGTGGCCCCGACCCGGACTGGGCCCCCAGAACCTGACTGGGCCCTCTGACCTGGAGCGGATGCTAATGTTTATCCTGTGATGCTAACCGGATGCTAATGTTTATCCCGTGATGCTAACCGGATGCTAATGTTTATCCTGTGATGCTAACCGTATGCTAATGTTTACCCTGTGATTCTAACCCGATGCTCCGCCCACTCAGGGACATGACGGAGGTCGTCCACATCAAGGACAGGAAGGAGGTGATCCATGAGATGAAGTTCTCTCCAGACGGGGCGTATCTAGCTGTCGGCTCCAACGACGGCCTGGTGGACGTTTACGCCGTCGCCCAGAGATACAAGAAGGTCAGGAAGCCTTAGCAGGAAGTGATGCTGCACAGACAGAGACGATACAGAAATATAAAAGCCAACCAGACAACTAGATTAAAATTCATGCAGTCCAGTTATGTGGTTCACTTTGTCAGATGTTAAAATGTTTTCTGCTGGAGGAAACCCAGCAGTGGCTGAATCCCTGACTGGCAGCCATCTTTCCTCTGACTGGTTCAGGTGGGAGAATGCAGTAAATCCACCAGTTTCATCACACACCTGGACTGGACTGTGGACGGGAAGATCCTGCAGAGCAACGACGGAGCTGGAGAACGCCTCTTCTACCGGATGCCCAGTGAGTCTGGACAGAGTAAAGACTGGATCAATCCGATCGATCTGATCAGATCAATATCGTCAGATCAGAATCTGTAGAGTTGATCCATCCTTCTCTACTTCACCGATCGATCAGGTTCCGAGTCGTTTCTTCCTGCAGATGAAAGTCAGCCGTTTTCTTTCTGTCTGGTTTCTATGGATGATGGTTATTGATCGTTTCCATGGCAACAGCAGCATTTGTGGAGATCTGCTTTCCTTCCTCCTGCAGTGGGGAAACCCATCACCAACGAGGAGGTTAAAGGTCAGCGCTGGGCCTCCTGGAGCAGCGTCCTGGGGTCAGAGGTCAGCGGCATCTGGCCAAAGTACTCTGACTCGACGACTGTCAACGCGGTGGATGCCAACCTGTCAGCCGGCGTCCTGGTGTCCGGGGACGACCTGGGCCTGGTGAAGCTGTACCGCTTCCCCTGCCTGCGGAAAGGTCGGCTGCTCCGCCTGCGGCTTCACTTTGCTTTGCTTCGCTTCGCTTTGCTTCACTCTCAACAATCTGCCTCTCGTTTGCCTCCAAGGAGCCAAATTCAAGAAGTACCTGGGCCACTCGGCGCACGTCACCAACGTCCGCTGGTCCAGCGACCTGCAGAGCGTCCTGACCACCGGCGGAGCCGACCACGCCCTCTTCCAGTGGCGCTTCCTGCCGGAGGACGGGACGGGCGGAGCGCCGGATGGAAACACAGCAGGTGGGACAGGAAGGACAAACTACCTGATCGTTCCAAGATCCAACAGGATCGATAATCCCAAACCTTCAGAGGGAGTTTTAACGACGACTGAACATTTCCAGAGCTTTACTGGGAGTAAATTAATGAAACATCACCATGGTTACTCAGAAAACATATGAATGTAAAATATGTCTGGGTTTGGTTCTGGATGTATGTGAGGAAAACCCAGTTTTTCAGAAAACGATGCAGAATATATGAGTTCTGTGAGCAGAACTTTAGGAGAGCGTTTGGCCCACAGGGGGCGCTGGTCGAGTTCTTAGGGAGTTTATTTATCGCCAACTGGTTGTTTTCATTGTTTCATTAAGACGTTCGGGTCGGTTCTGTTTGGAACAGGACCTTTACATGGGTTCTGACGGACCGGACCGGGTCAGGTTCTGTCTGACCCGGTAGAACTCTGCGGTCGATGTGAAGCATGTTGACTGTAAACAGGAGAGGAACCAGAACTCCTGAGCTGATGCGTCTCAGATCAGAGCAGTAAAACTGAAGCAGGCGAAACTAAAAACGTCCAGAAAGTTTTCACTGATATTCTGTCATTTGAACGGATTTTATTCTCCGACCAACTGATTCAGGTTCAGTTGGTCTGATGTGAATCAGTTTGAATTCACATGTAATTCAAACCGTCATGAAAACGATGAAGACGTTCAGACAGTATGTTACGTCTCTGACGTCATAAGTTACTGTAATAACCAACCCAAACTAGTCCTGTCTAATGGAACATGATGTCACTGAAACCTGTTAAAAGGACATGAGCACAGAGGTCAAAGGTGAAGCCACTCAGAGAATCCGTGTCTCTTTGTCGCTCAGAGAGTCTCGGTGACTCCAACAGTGAAGAGTCGGACAGCGACGCCTCCGACGTCCCGGAGCTCGACTCCGACATCGAACAGGAAACGCAGATCAACTACGAGCGGCAGGTGAGAATCTGACCTCTGACCCTGACCTGACCCGACCCGATCTGACCTC